ATGAGGATCTTGCTGTGTTGCCCAGGCTGGTCTTGAACTCCTGGGCTCAAGCGATTCTCCCTCCTCAGCCTCCCAAAGTGCTGGGATTACAGGCATGAGACACCATGCCCAGTCCAATAGATCTCTTGAACATCTGAAATTTTGTATCCATTGAGCTACATCTTCCCAACCCCGTACTCCTTAAGCCCCTGATAACCTCCATTCTACTGTCTACTGCTATGAGTTCAACATTTTTTAGATTCCACGTATAAGTGAGATCATACAGTATTGTCCTTCTGTGTCTGACTTATTTCACTGACTCCCTAGGTTCATCCATATTGTTGCAATGAGATCTTCTTCTTTTAAGGCTGAATAGTATTTCATTATGTATATATATCACATTTTCTTTATCCTTAAAATTTTTTTTCCTTATTCCTTATACATTTATTAATTGGGATTTTCCATAAGGAAGAGTTGTCCTTCCTTTTTCACTTATTTGTGTTTTCAATTATTTATTCAAATTGTATAGACTCATGGCTTTTTACTATACTCTAAGTGTTACAACCCAGTACCATCATTTATTTTGTTCCTTACATTTTTCCAACTTTGGCCACTGGGAGGTCCTTCAGATTAGTTCCTGTGTCCTTTGCACATGCCTCCATGCTTTTTTGAGCACTTCCTTGCTTTCTGGCACCCAAAAACGTTTTAATTTCATCTGGCATTTTCCCTGCTCCTACCCTAGAATTAACCTTGCCTCCAAGAAGATAATATTCATTTTATTGGTGAATGATATTTAGAAACCAAGATCTGGGCATCAAGTGTGCTCATTATTACTGGAATGTCATTGCTTTTAGGCCCTCTCAGTGGACTTAGCTAGAAAATTTAAGCATATATCTAATCAACCCATACACACACACCTATCTTTATCTCTGTATCTAAATGATGACAACTTTTAAAGCACTTGGAACAGTCCCTGACACATAGTGGGCCCTTGAGAAATAATAGCTATTGTTGTGATTAGTCACATGCGCCTACTTGTGTGCACGGACCATAAAGAACTCTTAGTCTGTGGCTGGGCGCAGTGGCTCACGCCTGTAATCCCAGCACTTTGAGAGGCCGAGGCGGGTGAATCACTTGAGGTCAAGAGTTCAAGACCAGCCTGGCCAATATGGCAAAACCCCGTCTCTACTAAAAATACAAAAATCAGCTGGGCATGGTGGTGTACGCCTGTAATCCTAGCTACTCTGGAGGCTGAGGCAGGAGAATCACTTGAACCCAGGAGGCAGAAATTGCAGTGAGCCGAGATCATGCCACTGTACTGCAGCCTGGGTGACAAGAGAGAAATTTCATCTCAAAAAAAAAAACAAACCTCTTAGTCTGCAATTCTCACCTAAGGGTGGAAATGCTGGGATATGGATTAGGGGCAATGAACCTACAAAAGGAAACTGTTTGCTGAATCAGTCTTGCCTCTCTCCTGGTCCTTGTAAGGTGCAGAGGGAGCTACCAGCAGAGTTTGATTTATTGTTCCTTGTCTCAGATCTCTTAACTTGACTCCTAATATAGGACCTAGTTAGGCTCAAAATCATTCGGACTCCAAAAGTTCAGGGAACAGATTGTGTCTTAAGCCCTGCTCCCAGCTCCCTGCCTAGTTTCAAATTGCAAAAGCTCCCTCCAAGCCCCAGCAGCATCAGGCCCAGTGTTGGTTTTCCTTCCCTTTGGTCCCCATGTCTGCTATTCCTGCGTTGCGGGGTCTCTCTATGCGGTCTTCCTCTATGTGCTGATGTGTGGGCAGTGTAGGGCCGGACTAAGACCCAGTTCCCCAGCACTGCCATGGTATTAACCATGTCTCCTTGTTGACCAACCAAGGTGCATTATTAAATTCTCTCAGCCTCAGTTGTCCTATCTGTAAAATGAAGACGATTATAGTTCCTCCTTTATGAGATTGTTGTAGAAGTGAAAGTATTAACACACAGAAGGCACTCTGCATGCTGCCTGCACAGCTCCATCGAGCTCAGTCAATGTGAGACTTATTTTCATGTTAAGGCAGTCCTGGCGATGTCACAGAGCTTCAGATGTGAGGGGAAGGCTTCAGGTCAGAGGGAATGCCACCTGGCCCATTGCCCATGAGGTTGTTCTAATCTCAGGTAAACACCCTCCCTTGCAGCCCATCAGAGGGAGGAGGCTGGTGGAAGGCATCTGGAATTATTACGAGAAGACACTAGAGAGAAACAACTCTTTCAAATCCCTGGACTGGGGCTATCTCAGGGAGAGGGAAGAGAAGCAGGGCACACTCAGTTCTGACCTGCTCTTTGGCCCCCACTCTGAAGCCAGGTGGGGGCAGAGTCCAGAGGAGCAAGGGCAGTTGCATGACAGGCCCTCCCCCA